CGAGTGCCCTGACCTAATGGGAATATACTTTGCATCGTGGTTTAGGGTTAACGTCTGCGCACTTGGATTGATTGATGACACAAGCTGCAGGTGGGCAATATGGCCTCCCTTTCTCGCTGAAATTAGGGCAACTGAGACAATTTTCAAGCTGGTCGGGCATTTTGATGCAGTCTGGCACAATTTCAGCAAATTTCATGGTTTTGGTACAGCTCCGTGCAAAAATGGGGAATTGAATCTAATTGGCACAATTAGCGCAGCTATTACAACCCTGCTCACTGAAAAAGACTGAACTGTTGTAGTCATGTATGTATTATTCTGTGACTGCTCTGGCTAAATTCGAACAAAAGGAGTTTAAGACACCAGAGTGTAGACAAGTTTAATTGAGAAGAAACAGAATAAGTGTAGCCTCTTGAGCGCAATTTATATTCGTTAGCTATGCACCATAGCTCATAATCAAGTAAAAAATGCAACAACTCAGACCTTGAAGACTTAAACAGTAGTTGAACCGTAGCAGGAATTGCACCGGGAAAACAGACTCTGTCAACTGCAAATGCACCAATAGGCTCAAGGTGTATTAAAATGAGATAATAATCTTAGTGATGCAAGCTCTATAACAATGAGAAATGTTAATTCCTAACCATTTTGCTTTCCTTTGTACTTAATAAAGAGCCAATAACACAGCCGTATGTCAGGAGTCATGTTACCTTCAAACTAGCAAGCAAGAAAGTTTTTATAACGTGGGCTAACAGCTAAAGAAAACATTTTGGTAACCTAATGAAGAAAATTGCCTTCATATTCAGATCATTCTATTCATGTCAATTAAAGAAACACAGTCAAATAACAATTTAGGTCAGAGTGAAAGCTCAATGTATGACAATGTCTAAAAGGACAATATTATCAATAACAGTGCCCTACTTACCGAGAAATTAGTGTAAATGCACAAGAACACATGCGCCACAGTAGGACATTCTCAAAATGATTCCAATGACATCAGATGAACCGCCTACAATTAATCACAAGTAATCGATCTAGCTGCACTAAATAAAGAACCTTCCATGCAACAAGATATGCAATAAAATGCTGCTTGTTCATTTCTGTTTGATTCATGGAAAAAAGAACCGCCGGACGTTACTATGGGGAATGGCGTGAGTAGTTCAAAAATTCAATTTTCGCGTAGTTACACTAGACAGGTGGTGCCATCTAGCGGGGTGCAGTTGAACCAAAAAATGTCTGCAATCTTGCAGCAAATGGTGGGAAATTGATCGATGGCCGTTGTTGCTGCTGTGGCTCCCTCTGCTTTCGGTCTGCTGCTACTAGCGCAGTAAAGCCGGGCAACGTTGTGCACGACAACAGTGACAGGAGTCGGTCCGGTGGGTGTTCATCTTGAGGCGGGTAATTTAAAGTATGCTAACCCAATGCGGACCACTGAAACGCGATTTATTTCAAAATGGGCCCTTCCTTGGCACAAGAGTAATGAGAGTTGTAGTGCGAGAACAAAATGACGACAAAGGGACATGAATAAAAAGAGCGCTATAACTATTCCCTTTGTTGTCGTTGTGTTCTCGCACTACAACTATCGTCATGTCATACCAACTAGCCCAAACTGCCACACTACAAGAGTAACACTACGAGGTTTCTGGACTGCTATTTCAACAATCAAAGTCAACTTAATAGTTGCCTTTAGTGTCCCTTTAGCTGACATATTTTCTCGCTTGCTCATCTAAGCTTTTTTTTTTTTCACTCTCATTTTCAATTTCCCCGAATTTCTCACAGTAACAACATTGCATAACTAACTCCGTTTATTTTCAATTTGTCAACACTTCTACCCTTGACATATCTTGGCACCAATATTAGCATTTACCATATACTTCCACAATGCAAGTTAAAAAAATCAAAGTTGTAGGATATTCTGCAATCTCTTGCAAAAAAATTAACACATCCAACATTTCTTACAACCTTCCGAGGTACCTCTTCTGCATAAGCAGTTTTAGCCATAGATGAATTGCTAGAGCATCGAACGACTGATCTTAAGGTTTGGGTTCGGATCTCATCAACAAAGCATAATTTTTCGTCTGCTTTAATTAATTTAAATGTATAATTACAACACTACAGTCAGAGACAAGAATTAATAGCTCCCATACTTTCCCTGGCATAACTATCTGGTTTATCCATTTAGTTGCGTCCAACAAAGTAACGAGCCCCTTGGAAAAAAAAACCTACCATTACACAAAAGTAATAACATTGACCACAAATTTTAATATCATTTGCTGCATTTCGGGTAAGTAAAAGCAAGCGTACCTTTCCCTTGACACTCTGAATAGGGTCAACGACCACTGCCACAGCACGCTCGGAAAGGGCTTCAAAGCTCTGTTGTGTGTTGATGTCGACGCCAGACAGCCAGCAGCCGAAGCCAGGGTGCGAGTGGTACCAGCCCACCACCATTTCAGGCCTAAACGAAAAAAAATAGTTGGATTGCTGAAGCAATATTTATTTCTTAAGCAATTGCTGATCACTTGACATGATTATAGGTCATTGATAGACGACCTTAGTTACCTCAAGAAACAGAAAACTTATCTCGGGTAATGACAACTATATCACACTTCATTTATGGCAGTCCCTTTTCAAAAGAAAAGGGTGTTCTAAGTTTCTTAATGTACCAGAAAAGACTGCAGAAGACCGTTTGTAAAACACTGCCTATGAACCAACTTAAACGAGTTGCCTACACTTAAAACCACATGTTTCAACCAGCAACTCTTACACACAATAACAATAAATATGATCATGCAACACACCTTCCTGTCTGCTTCAGCATGTCTAACATTTTGGCTTGGAAGACAGGGTCAACTGCTTCGACACTGACACCCTGCAGAAAGCATAGAAAAATAGGACCTTATGTGAAGAACAGCTGCTTCAGCAAACTAGTCATTATGTCGTGCTGCAACAGATGTTGCGTTCACAGATTAAAGTGAACATTGAAGTGTGATGGTGTATCATTAAAGAACAAAAATCATGGACATCAAGCTACTTTTCAAGTGAACACGAAGCTCAATGCCTGTAAACAGATTAGTGACGGCTGCCAGTGTAGTGCATACTGGTATGGAAGGGTGCTACTGCGGAAAACTCTCGGAGTCAGCATTTAGTTACAATGAGTCGGCATTTAGTTGTAGAGGTGTGGTGTTACAGCACTTGCAACAACCTAGCAGTGATCCGACAACCACCAACATCAACCTAGTGGCCAAGGAATCATAACAAACCAATAAATCATCATACTTGTTTTATTTCAACACATGACTTGGGGGCTGTATTCACTCACAACTACACAGAGAAGTTAAAAGGTTTTTTCAGGATATTAGAGCACTCCTACTCTTCGTTTATAGTACACTATGTCAAGCCCAGGCACACAAAAAGGTCCAATGTCTATGGACCAGTCACTAAGAATGATTGTTAGTCCCGCCGCGGTGGTTTAGTGGCTAAGGTACTCGGCTGCTGACCCCCAGGTCGCGGGATCGAATCCCAACTGCGGCAGCTGCATTTTAGATGGAGGTGGAAATGTTGTAGGCCCGTGTGCTGATTTGGGTCCACGTTAAAGAACCTCAGGTGGTCAAGTCCACGTTAAAGAACCTCAGGTGGTCAAAATTTTTGGAGCCCTTCACTACGGCGTCTCTCATAATCACATGGTGGTTTTGGGACGTTAAACCCTACAAATCAATCAATCAAGAACGATTGTTACAGCGCCTTTTTGCACAACCAGAGGCTCTCTGGTGCTCGATGACATACCAGTGTCCTTAACTCTCGGCCCTTGTTCTAACAAGTAAATCTCTCTTTCAAAGCAAGGAATGATGCAGGGTCACATTACCGTTCCAGACTGGGGCATGGCAAAGACGTCTATGACTCTGACGGTGTAGTCATCCACGAACTCTCCCAGCATGAGACCCATCACCTCCATAGGGACGCCAGCTCGGCCGTGTTTCAACATCTGTTGGGAAATGTGACGGTGGTTAGACAGGCAACGCGAGTTCTCTGCAGCTTTACCACTGTTGATGATCACAAACACCAATACCTTCAAAATCTCCAAACTTTGTTTAAAGAAATACTTCCCGAAACAAGTTTCCAGACCTCGAATCTCTCAACTACACCTACAACATGTCCCACCATTTACGCGGTGTTTCTAAGGCAACAAAATTGAACAGCTAGAAACATGAAACGCAAACCAAGACATGAACGCGATGTTGTTTTGCCGTTTCGTTAGCATACCTTGAGCAACGCCAGAGACGAGATGTAAACTTGCTCGGCAGTGTCGACGACTGGCCCATCACTGGCCGGAGGAGCCTACGATTACCAAACAAGAATACCAGACCATCGGTAAATGAACTGAGAATGGTAGCGGCCCTTCAACAGCAAGCACTTTAGGAGGGTTGGGGGCTGGAAATGGACAACTTACCTGCCCGAGACCGGACAAGTTCCCTCCTAATCTCAACAAACGGTCCATGCTTATAAAAAAATCTGAAAGAAGAAACGAATGGTTTCAGGCAGCGGGCAGCGATGATTTGACGGCCGTCACAAGCGCGACCCACACGAGGATCACGTCACTCGCGACTGCTTCGAGATCAACGAACGTAATAACTGACAATGCACATTTCCCAGTTCTACACTAATGTCGCTAACGTTTTGAATAGCGTACAGCGCGAAAACTGTTCGAGATTTACGTACAAAAACGTCCGGGCGCAGCGAAATGACTCGGCACTCCGCGGTGGCCCTCCGAATTTTAGGTGGCGCTGCCACTCGAAACTTTGCAGCTACTCCGTATCACTTATTCAAGCAATTAATATTAAAACATTATAATTGTAACAAAGTTTTAGTTACAGTAACTAACTAAAAAGCAGTGATAATTGTTTAATAAAGTAAAAAGTCACCACTGCACACTGTAGCGCTGCTCAACACATTTTAGTAACTTTGTTGCATAAGTATGTCATTTGTCTATATGTAGTATGTATTTTCGTTTTTTCGGTTCTTGCTTTCGTTTTCGTACCTGATTTGTTGTGCCACAAATGTGCGCGCTTATGTGACCTCTCACACTACTGAAAAAGTTTCACTGAAAAACGAAGGACGTATTGACCGCAGTTGCAGGCTGGGAGCAACTGGTTGCAGTCTCTACTGCGCGGTTCCAGTTGCACAAATTAAATGTCGTCGCAAGTACATGAACACGCCGCAGCTTCGGTGCTACCTGAAGGGTTTTCTGGAGGACCGCATGGTTTGGGTGTGTATTGCTCGTCAGATGCCGTCTGAAATGTAAAGCGTGTCATGGTGATTGATACAATAACACATCTTTATTGCATACGTTGCAGGTGACCCGAATGATCGACGGCTGAGGAAAGTAGAAGTTGAGGTCCTAATTCCTCAAAAGATGAGAGACAAGGCACGCGACGAAAAGTGTGCGGATCTCGTTGAAAGTACGTGCGTTCTGCGTGGAGTTCATCTCGCAAAAAAAGACACATAATAGCTTGTATAGCCGAGCACGGACTTGGGTAGGGCACATTCACGTGTAAAGGACTGTGAACCTAGATCACTGTTCTTGTACAAAACAATATCTTCACGCCAGGGACGGCGTTAGGAGTACCCCCGACAAGCGAGTTCGTCCAGGGGGCTAAGCGGAAAAAAAGAAGGGGGATGCTACGGTTTGCGCCCTCCCCATGCCCCCCCCCCCCTCCTAGCTCCGCCCCCATCATCACGGAACCTTGTATGCTCGTTGTTCTTCTAGGCACCACTACTTAGCGCCTTTGCCTTTTAATAACTGATGAAAATATACTGATATATATTCCTGAAAGTAAACTGGTGTTATTCTCTAGAACGTAGCAAGCTGCGAAGAATACCCTGATAGTTTTCGCTGAAAGAAAACTTGCTTTTCTTTGAAATAGCTTTTTATGAAAGAAAGTTACTTGGTGTGGGATTGAACCCTGAACCAGTGTCTTCCCGAGGTAGTTGCTCTTTCATCAGAGCTAACCAGAAGTTTACGTATTGTGAAAGATAACCGGGAGGTCTGTGTAGATCGCAGATTGCAGCCAAATCATTTGACTACAGGAAAGTGCAAGAACATCAAAGATAAGTCCATCTGTGAAAACCTACCTAGCAAGTTTCCTTTGTAAGATTTAGCAGCACTTAGGCTAATGACGCTTTCGCACTTCATGAATCCACCTCATTAGCCTCAACAAGACTAGTTTGCCAGATAAACACTGCCCTTGGGTAATTAACCGTGCCTTGCCTCTTTGTGTCAACTTGTTTACTCTAAGCTGAGCCACACACATGTAGTTGGACCATATCAGTAGAACCTCAAGGTGTTACAGTTAATCTGGAGTCCCCCAAAATGGCATGGCTCATAGTCATATCATGGTTTTGATACACACAACCTTTAGGAAAGCAAAATTGTAATTCATGATATCAACTACATTTCACCAGATTAGCAATTCTCTCTGTTACACTTGAGAACAGATGCATATTGTACTCAGTAATTGCATTGTACTGTGTCATTGCATTGTACTGAGCTGTGACATGTAAAGTGAATCTTCCAATCCACACTTTCGATTATAGGACAATATGGGGTCACTGGGGTATGGTCCTTTGGTTTCCTTGCTTACTGATTCCATGTGCAAATTTGTGCCTCCTATATATCATACATTGTCTGCTTTTCTTTGCTTAGAATTTGGTGAATGCAGCAAAAGAGAAGGTTTGATGCTACCATTCAAGTGCCGGCAAGAGAACAATGCCCTCAAGGCATGCTTGAAAAAGTGGTGAGTTTTGCACTTTCATTGTGTCACGAGGCAAGAACAGTCCTGTCCCTAGTGGGCCTCTGCTAAGGGTGTTGCAGTTCTCTTCTTTCACATATCGTTTTAGTTTTCAGAGTGAAGCTAGTGGGAATATATGGCTTTTACAAAAACCTCACTTCAGTTTTCTCTTTAGTACGTATAAATCATCATACATTGGTTATTTAGAATCTAATTGCCATATATTGCTCACCATGTGATATTAGTGAGAACTAACAAAAATCAATCCAAGGAAAGTATTGGAGATAGTATTTATAGTAATTGTCATATAGTTTGAAAAAATAAAAGCAGATCAAAATATAACTTGCCGCCAGCTGGAACCATACCTGAAACCTTTGAGTAACACTCCCAGGTTTATATGCACAGATATTCCCGATAAAGTGGACAGTAGGACGGCCGTTTCCATAGGTCAATTGGTAGAGCATCGTACGCACTAGTCAGAAGTTGCAAGGTGCAGTCCCTGCTGGTGGATAGTTATCTTTTATTCCACTTGAATTTTTTGACATGTATATCGCATTTACTACAAATAACATCTCCTATATTTTCCTTGGCTTGGTTGCCCGTAAGTTCTCAATTATATTGTGTCTGACAAAGAAAATTGAACACTTAATATTACCCTTACTTTGTTCATTTATAGCAGGAGTCCTAGTTCTGGCATAATTTTCAAAGTTCTTGGGAGCTAAAGGATTGAAAATTGTACACATTCAAATGTTGTGGTATGGTTTCTATTGGTGCATTGCATTCCATCACTTTTGGAGTTAGCTTGAGTAGGTTTGTGCAAATAGTGATCTTCAGAATCAATCGAACAGTTCTCCAAGTAAGTCAGTTTGAATCGAACAAATAATTTTCTAATAGTTTACAAGTTTTCAGCAGTATAATCAGCAATAGCTTTTCAAGGACTCTAAACCACTTCCGACATTCTTCTAAACATTGCAAGTGAATGCGCGCATCGTGTTAGATCACGAATGCCGTCACGATCAGTGATGCCACATGTGGCAGCGCTACAGGCTGCAGATGTGCCACAAATTCCAAAAAACAATCCTTCCTCCTTTCTGGGACCCCTGACCCTACTGTATCGTGAGTGACATCAGCATGTTGAATCTGTGATGCTGTTGGCAAGCGATGCTGCACTCGGTCAAACGGGAACCTATGAAGCCTGCGAGCAGCTGCTCGAGCGGAGGTATTCTGGTACAGCATGTCTTTGAAGGCATGCGCACAACACAGGGTCCATGCCAGCATGGTAACAACAGCAGTTAGCCAAGAGGAACGTAGTTGCTACAACCAAAAGAAGGCACTGCTTATGAGTGCATCGGTGATGATGCATGTCACGTGTTATTGAGAGGGGCACTCGGCAAAGAGGGAAAGCGGCTTTGGAAGAGGAAACCAGCTGGCAAACAGAAGGTAACGAAGGAAAGAGTGAAACGAGTAATCACTACATTTCTATGTATGCGACTCCACTATTACGGCATCGCTTTGAAAAAATTGTCACGGCTACGTCTTTCTTGTAGAATTCAGCACAACTGTCACACCACTACTAAATCTCGACCTCGGAGTAGTTTAGGGGCCCTTTAAATTATTCTATCCTAGTACTCATATTTAAGGATCAAATGTACGAATTAACCATTGATAACCAATATTAAGCAGATTTTTCGTATGCACACTTTTCAAAAAGAGTGAATGATCATTGTTAGAGCCAGTTGAGGCTGGCTCTTCAAGCTTGGATGCCCACTGAACTGCTCGCAAGGACAAAATTTATGGCACTTTTGCACTATCTTATTGTTTATTTTGGTGAAATCTACATTTTGAAATATTTGTGAACTATTTTATAAATATTTGTATTTACGAATAGTGGCTCACCGATATGGAGATTGAATCCAATAATTCACTACTATCTGATTCAATATTTTTATATATTCACACCTCTAGATTTGAGCGCCTATACAATGATCACCTCGTGGACACCCTGTGTGCTTACCACATATTATAACGATATGGCATGCTGATTCTGTGTCCAGGTATGAAGATCCCGAGTTCCAACATATGTGCAGAGAAGAGTACCTGAGGGAAAGGAGCAAGTTTCGGGAGACGGGTGTGTGGCAAAAGAAGGACAAGTGTGCCGACGTTAGGAGTAAAAAGGCTCTCGAGTCGCCCAGTAATGCATGATCAAGGTGCAGCGCAAGTAGTGTTCGTTTTTTTGTTTTTCCCCAGGAGTGCATGCATGTTGTTCCTTAAGGTAAAGTGCTTGACCATTGGTGAATAAAACTTTTTACAACTCTGTGATACAAAGTTGCCTGGTTGTTTTCAGTACAACTCTTCATTATTCACCAAGTGTAGTACTCAGTATGTTTGAACTTCATGCCACAGGCTTTTTCTTTTTGGAGTCATGTAGTGAAAATTCTTGAACAGGGCTACACCTCATTTATTTTCATGCTTTGGATGTAATACTCTAAAAACTATGCAAGACATTCAACCATAGAACTGTGCCACCCTATAAATTTTGTGGTCAAGGTTGTGGCCTAACCATCTTCTGATTAGCCTTTGTGACATGTCTGCTGAAACTACAGAGCATTGCCTTATTATTTGTAAAGATTTGATATGAATCTGAGATGTGCTATAACAGGACTCCAAAGCATTACCTTCTTTTGGAGCAACACGCGATATAATTGCGCCCATGATCATGACATGTCATCGGTTAGCTGTTTTTCATCTGGAATACATGGTTTGTGGAAGACATGCTTTGTTGTGCTACTATGCTAAGTCCATTGTCTCTTCGAAATTTAAACATTGGTGAAATTCCTGCTCCTTCCCTAACAGTTTAAACTGGACCAGAAGTTCTGAAAAGTTGAAAGTACAATGCTTACAAAACTTTGGACCACTGAAAAGGCCACGTCTTAAATAGTGTACCAATAAAAACCCAAGCAAGCGCCACCCATCCACCCACGCCATATGCTGAAGGATAATTCAGCTACATTTCAAGGGGGGCCCTTGCTCGGTCATAGATATCAAATCAAGGTGGCATCAGAGGAGATACTAAGAACAAAAAATGTACACTAGTACTTCTAATGGAATGCTGTATTGAATATGCATGCATTTACTGCATTCATTCGCCGTCGTCAGGCGGCTAAAAACTTTTAATGAAACAGTGAAAATGGTGGGAAGGCAGAAAAGGCCACATACTTCAAATTTCCCCCGCCCCAAAAAAAGGGGAGGGGGGCATGTGCTCGGAATTTTACGGCAGATATAGGAGGGTGCCCATTTTGGTTTCTACTTTCACTAATCTTGAGCTACTGTTCTATGCATAGTCCTGGCGTACAAATTTATAGCACCTTAAGAAGCCATTTTGTGACAGCTTCTCTACTGATCTGCTTCGTTTCAGTTTTATTTCTTTTTAACCTATCAGTTATACATAATAATAACCTTCTTTTACACATTTTCAATTTCCTCCTTGTGGTTCTATCAAATATTTTCTTGTTACACTGTTTTCCTTTTTTCCCTTTCTCTCTTTTCCACTGCTGTGTTTTCTCTTCATGAATTCTTGTCTAGGTGTATTTCTTCCACGTGGCTGGACAAAAGTGGTCATAAGATTTTTTTGGAAAAAGGTTCCTAGTTGCAGCAGTGAGACTATTTTGACCGACAATGTAGCCAGACTCATAACGCAACTTACATAGAACTATCGTGTGGTTGTCATGTCAACGATCTTCCCTCAAATGTCGTCGACCATTCCAACACAGGTACATTTAGGAATACCATAGAATCGTTGTTTTATTAAATCTTTATTGTTTGCCCACTCCCTCATGTAAAGCCCTCTCTTGAGGGCCTTTGGGGTATATTAAATAAATAAGTAAATGTAAGTTATTTCTGGTGTAACGTGAAATTGCTATATCTAGGCATTCCTTACCCAAGTTCAAATCTCATTGATTTCACTTTCCTTTTATAGTGAATTAACTGACTATCGAAATTAGGCTCGTTGCATCAGTGAGCCGCCATGAAGAAAGGAAATCAAATATGCATACCCCCGTCATTGCATTTGGAGTTGGAGGCTTGCCTTTAGCTATAAAACAAAGAAAGGCCTTGCAAAGTGGGTAATAAATGACACACACTTTATTTCTACATCACCTGATTTGTACTACACAACCTTTAAAAAACCACAGTTGCGCTCTTGGTCTGTGAGTGCTGTAATGCTCCTTCATGCTACCGGGGTGTATAGAGCCATATGCTGGAAAAAAGGAACAAAAACAGAAGAACAGTCACTGCAATTTTTCTTTTTCTAGAGCTTCAGTTAGATTGAAGGCAAGCACATCCAAAGGACAGTGAATTAATTGACAAGTGGCACTTTAAATGACAGTGAAACTAGAAACACTGATACGCTGTATTTGCTTATTTTTACTGCTTGTCCAGAAAAAACACTTCATTCTAGTTAGTTCAATGTGCAATTATCATTAAATGGACATTATAGGTCACTGCTCGGCACTAAGTTGTACAAACTTATTTAAAGATTCTAGGTCATCTGCATCATCCTGAATATTAAAGCGTCGTTATACCATTATTATTATAAGTGCAGATATGATGAGGGCCTTGCAGTGAAAGATTATGTTTTATTTGGTGCAATCCAATGCAGTAATTTAGGACCTTTATCACTGGAAAGCTACTAGCCACTTACCAGGCAAGTTATATGAAAAGACCTGTGTATATATTTTGTATCCTTGTATTGTATTTCTGGTGACAAAAATCAATTGATTGAAAGAATTTTAATGCAACAGATTAGCCAGGGCCATTGCTTGGCTGAAGATGGATTCGTTTGTTTAGTAGTCAGTATAACAGTTTCTTTTATGGAAATTTTCAGGAATCAGTCTGCTTTTCATTTCATCGTACAGTTAAGCATGACATGAATCACCTCAGTGCAGGCGGTTCCAGAGGGTCAGTCCAAATGACCTGCAATACAAAGGAGCTAAGTATTAGATCTAGTTTCCTCATTGGTATGCCTGTGTCAAATTGCGCATTTAGTGAAACAAACTGCAACTGTGATTTACTAGACGCTTGCCATGGGCACCATGCTATTCATAACAGTTTTCTTAGATCAGGCTGAACAATGGATAGCAAGTACCACTACAGGTGATCCCCCTGTGGTAGGCTTTTTAAAATCGAGCACGCTAGTGATTGCTCTTTGAAGAAGGCCTTTCACTGAGGAGGTCTGCAACAACCTCTTGCCATTTCATTGCATCCACAGCTTTCCCTGTTGTCTGAATATGTGCAGTCTTTTTTCATGTGTAGCGGCTCGTGCAGTGCTTGGAGTACAGGCACGGCTGCTGGATACAGGACTGACCATGCATAACCATGCAAACCATTTGACCTTTGCTTTCATTCATTGTATTTTCTATTCTATCTTCGTTTCCTTTTATTCAAGGAGAGCTTCCAGTGGCAGCTTTTACTTTTGCTAATTTTTGTCTGTTTGTGAGAGTTAAGATAAGTTAGCACTGCTTTGATATGCTTATCTCTGCCAGTCTTAGATACACGCGTGTCTCGTGTAACTTGAACGTTGCCTAGTTTTCTAATCTTCGATGTATACCAATTATAACTTTGACTAGATATCATGGTGTGCTCCGTTATGTATAGAAAGCACGATTCTATGATTCACTCTCACTGGTGATTCACCTACAACACATTAGAGGACATGCTTTGATAACCAATCTTTTTGCATGGCTGTTATGTACCAACAAAATGTGTCACAAACAATTCTAAATCTCTCAGGAAATGGAAGCACATTATCAGACTCATCATTCAACAAGCTTGCTGGAGGGGGAGGGCAAAAATGCATTGATGAAGCATTGGTAGACTACTAATGCCACACACATACGGTCACATGCACACATGCTCTTACATGCATACATGTACATTTGTTCAAAAATTTACAGAAGTGGGGCAGGCGGATGTGTTGCAAGCCTAGGTCAGCAAGAAATGTGCAGCCCATGCAGACTTGCTTATGAAATATATTTTGTGCTTAAGACTTACACGAACTCAGGCTCACCAAACGTTTTCTCCAGTGGACTCGTGCGGGCTCAGACTCACTAAAATTTTCTCGACCGGGCTCACTCAGACTTAAACTCACCAAACTATTATACACTCGGGTTCACTCGGACTCACACCTCCATCTCGGTCTGAGTGAGTCAACTCATGAATGAGTTTGCTGACCTATGGTTGCAAGACAGCTAACACACACACAAAAAAAACACTCAGTTTAGACAAATAAACTGTCCTTTAAAATTAAATTATGCTTCAGAAGAAGGAACAAAAGCTGTTTTTTTTTTATCTCGCACAGGAATCTCGGGCAAGGTATGTTAGTGTAACATCATGATTTTCAGGTTTGTGAAGTGAATGTTCTTGAAACTTGTTCAGTTTTTGTTTCCTGAACGTAATGTAGTCCATATTTTCCTAAACTAATTGGGCCCGAGCAAGCGCATTAGGCATCTGTTACTGTCAAGGTGAGCTGGTGCTTTAGTGTCAAAGAAATGCCACCACTGTACTCGTATTCAGTTTTTGCATCTTTCATATTTTCTCCAGCCTCCTCCCCTAGTAACATATGCAGTGGCTTTTCTGGTATTGTAAATGAGTAAGTTATTAGCACATCTCAGCTTCTTTTGATTTACAGTGGTTCTTCAAGAAATGATTGTAGCACATTCATGAGACATCTATAGAAATTGTGACGCAAGGTCCCGTACTTGTCCTTGACGCCAGCAATCCCGGGCACGGAGCAGCAGGGGATTTCGCAGTTCTTTTGGAAGGAGTGCGGAGCATAGCGGTTGTAGAGACCCCAGATGCTGTTCATGAGCTTCGGGTTGTACTTCGGCAGTGTTGTCTCAACAGCTGCACAGTGCAAAAAAAAAATGAAGTTCAAATTAAATTCTTCTAGAGAGGTATGAAATCAAGATACGCAAGTTTTTTTTACAAGTGATCTACTGGACTTGTTGATCTAGGTGGAACTTACTGCTGGTCGGTGGTTCAAAGATGACACCAACATTTTTTGTCTGATCTTCTGCGAGCTTTCTGTGCAGATTCACGGCAGAGTGCATTGTGTATGGTATGGAGGCCATGGCTGAAAACAAAACAGACAGAAAAAAAAACTGACTTTATTTTTTTGTGTCTCAACAGTCAGCAGCAGAATCTCTGATAATGTTACATGACACGGTGATCTTTATTGCCAGTGCAGCTCATCCAACAGATCTTATACTTCAGTTTGGATAGCATAGAACATCTTAAAGTTTGTTGGATAGGCAGGTTTTTTTTTTTTT